TTCTTCTTCTTCTTCTTCTTCTTCTTCTTCTTCTTCTTCTTCTTCTTCTTCTTCTTCTTCTTCTTCTTCTTCTTCTTCTTCTTCTTCTTCTTCTTCTTCTTCTTCTTCTTCTTCTTCTTCTTCTTCTTCTTCTTCTTCTTCTTCTTCTTCTTCTTCTTCTTCTTCTTCCTCCTCCTCCTCCTCCTCCTCCTCCTCCTCCCTTTTAGTGATGATGACCACAGGGTTTATTTATTTATATATTCAATTTTTATATCTGCCCATCTCAGCCAAGGACTCCAGGCGGCTTACAGTTAAAAATTTTTTTACAATTAAGACAACGAAAACATTTTAAAACAATAAAAAAATAAAAACACCCACGTTAAATATACAAGAGCAGTCAAGATATATAGCCAGGAACTCAATGCATTCAGTAACCCAGGCATGGGAACATAATAACCAGGTTTTTAGGGCCTTATGAAAGTCTAACAGTGTTGGGGTCATTCTGATCTCCAAGGGGAAAATGTGTCATGGACCAGGGTCCACTACAGGATCCTCTTTGGTTGACGGGATCTGCAGCAGATCTGGTTGGGCCACTCTTAGAATATTGTATCCAATTTTGGTCGCCACAATATATATATAAAAAAGGTTGAGACTCTGGAAAGAGTGCAGAGAAGAGCAACAAAGATGATCAGGGGACTGGAGGCTGAAACGTACGAAAACTGGTTGCTGGAATTGTGTATGTCTAGTTTAATGAAGAGAAGGACCAGGAGTGACATCATAGCAGTCTTCCAATATCTCAGGGGCTGCCCCAAAGAAGAGGGGGTCAAGCTGTTCCCCAAAGCAGCTGAAGGCAGGACAGAAGCAACGGATGGAAGCTAACCAAGGAGAGAAGCAACCTGGAACTAAGGAGAAACTTCCTGACAGTTAGAACAATTAACCACTGGAACAACCTGCCTCCAGAAGGTGTGAATGCTCCAACACTGGAAGTTTTTAAGAAGAGACTGGACAGCCACTTGTCTGAAGTGGTATAGGTTCTTCTGCTTGAGCAGGGGGCTGGACTAGAAGACCTCCAAGGTCCCTTTTAACTCTGTTATTCTGTTATCCTGAATGGGTAGAAACTCTTTGAGTTGTCAGCTGACACAACATTTCTTTTGGTAGAGATATTACGGATTAAACTGAAGATGGAAACTTTATTGCTGTGGGCTGAACTGACTGGATTGTATATTATATATTAAAAATATATATATTAAAAATTAACTAACGATGATGAGAAAGTTCTATTCACCCTTCGCCTTTCCCTTTCTGTTTAAACAAACAACCTTCACTTGAAAGCATAAGTAGGTCAGATAAAAGGCGGGATCCCTTATGCTTTTTTTCTCCCCAGTCCTATGACGGGATTCACTTGGATCGGTTAGCAATTCTGCTAATCTGGCGAAGATCCTGTGGCCCCCTCAGCTGAGTTCATCTCCCATCGGACATCATTCTTCGAATATCTCCTATCGTTTAGGAATGCCAGCTGCCTGGGTGAAAGGTTAATTATTAAATGCTGAGAAAATAAACAGGAGAAAATCAGAGAAATAATGAGGGCTGAGCAGATAAAGGGAGCTAAAAATTAAGTGCCCGTTTTTGCGTATTACCTGGTGCAGCTGTTAAAACGGGGGGAAATAAGCATTAAAATGCTGAAACTATTCCTATGGACAGGAGGTAAAACTTTTATTATATATATATTCGGGTTGAAACATTAACTTTGCGGATCCCAAGGCTTGGAAAGCAGATAGCTGTTGAAACATGGTTCGCTATTACCATTGTCCAAATACGCTTGTCAACCGACTCGTATTTATGACGGTCGTAGCGTCCCGGGGGTCACACGATCCCCTTTTGCAACCTTCTGACTTTCTGGCAAATCCATCTGCTACCTAAAAAGCATTTTTCCTTAATAATATTATTCCTAACCTCAATACTTCCGGCCTTTGGAAGCGGCTTTGAAAGAAGCAGTGTGGTGTAGGGTTAATTTAGCTTCTCAAGGGAGTAGGACAGCATTAAAAAAATATGCTTTCCAAGGGTGTCATTAAGTAATTTTAAGCTCTGGGTTTAATGGGCTTAACTGCCCACAAAGTTTCTAGATCTCTTTGTGTCCGCTATTGTACCCACTTGCTTCCTGGATTTCTTTTGAAATCCTTTTGTTCCAGCTGAAACAAAAGAGAGTGGTGTGTAGCTAAGCTTGTGAAAGCTACACTGATAATCATCTTTTGATGTATTTGGGGGGG